ACGACAGATGCCAATCACTTGAGAAACAGCGGATGTAATCTAGCCGGTCCGGGGGTTTAGAGCAATCCAGATCTGTTAGCAATCGCATGATTGTATCCTCTGAACATGTTACGGTATCCAGTTTGGCATAGCTCTGGGATATTCTAATACTAGAGAATCTGTATGGAACAGTAACTAGAAATGAGAAGCTGGTGCAATAGCTCAGTTTGCGTTGGCAGTAAACGGCTCACCAAGTGAGTTTTCCAATGCAGCTAATTCAGCAGCTGACTTAAGCCTATGTTTGCTATACGCAAAATCTTTTCGAGTGCCTCTTTCGCGGCTGATGATAAGTGTTGCTCGTAACCTGCACGCTTGCGTAGTTTCATTGAGTTGCAATGATTGCTCTATGGTTTATAAGCCACGTAGTCATCGGCGCTGTGTGTTTGCCTAAAGCGTTTCTATAACCTCGTACGTCGCCCGATAGTGCTTTATATTTCTTGTCAATCCATGATGGTCTATTTCGAAATTTAAATTGTGTTAAGGGAGCGAACTTGTCTCATATTTTGACGAATTTTTGCTTCAATACTCCTCAACATGTTTCTATACCGTCATTCTATGGCAGCCACCAATCTCCTTGCTCGGCTGTGCTCAGCACGCGATTCCAGTCCGTCTGCTAAACGTTACGACGAGGTGGTCGGGAGGATCCCAGAGACTGTAAATGCAGAACGGCTGAAACGCGAGAGTCAGCACTGGACCCAATGGGCTCAACTATTGTAACAGATTCGAGCGGGTGCTCGCTGTTTGTTAAAAAGAGATCGAGACAACTTTCTGATTACCCCGGAAGCTGTCTTGTTGGTTGCTGAATGCATTGTATAGCATTCATTTCTGTCACCGCATCAACAAAAATTTATTCGAGGACGCTACTGCCAGGCACAGCGATGCTGTAGGGAATCAACATGTGGAAAGTTAAAATCACCCAACAAAAAAGCATGGCAGTTCAAACGCTGTTGCACAATATCGATCCAATCGCGAGAAGTATTTGACTGGCTCCGATATATAGCTTTTATATTCAGTTCTATTGGACCAAAAGTTATGCTGCACCAAATTTTCTCGTATAGGCTGTCAAAGCTACAATGTGTGGACGTGAGTGTCCCTCGTATGGCGGACGTTATGTGTAACAATACGCCACCTTGAGTCGTTCGCTCCGAAATGCTACGTATTCACCAAGGTGAATTTCGGGGTCAGTAAAAGCAGCGTGGAACCATGTTTCGGTCAAATAAAATATATCTGGACAATGTTGCTCCACCCAGAGAAGTACCTCGTCAAGTTTACTGATAAGAATGCAAACGCTTGTAAGCACTACGATGAGCCAGACGAATAGGGTTGGCCGTGCGTTATTAGTAGTACCGGTCTGTTTATCAGCTGACCTTTTTGAACTACGCAAAAATTTACGACCTGGAGGTTCCCTTCTTCCTGTTGTGCCCGTTGCTTGAGGTCAATGGTGGCAGTCAGAAGAGAGTTGCGTTCTTTTAATGTAAGGTTTGCACGAACGTGAATTCGCAGACTATTAGACGCCAAAGGCGGAAAGAAGACGAGTAAGAGTGACCTGATCTTAAAAGACAATTCAAAAAAGACGAAAAGTTTGGAAGTCCGTTTACCCAGTCGCAATACTGGTTTTATACGCACACCTTATTCATCGGATTCTAGAAACTGATAGATCAACCCCTGTAAAAATTCAACATCATGATCATGACTGATTGGCGGAGTTGAATTTCCAGGCCTCGAAGCATGAAAGATCATCAGTCAATGTTTGCGTGGGTGGAGCAAACTGCTTTCAGACAATAAAGAGGACCACGGGACAGTGCCCGGAGTTCCTGTAAACGGTGTTGTGGCTGAGATGCACCACGGCAAATTGTCAGCGGTTTCCTGACAAGAGACTGCAACAAGAGGTGGTTCTTCGAAGTGGCCATTTGTAGAAACCTTACTGTATGGCAAAAATGAGGTAACTGCGTCCAAATTATCTAAAGGACAAATGCAATTTAGGTCTTTGGTCTGGTTGACCTTGTCCGTTGGTTGGCTGCTGAGAGACCCTGTGCTGGGCTTCCTGGAACGTTTAGAAGTGGGAAGAGATATACACCTCGCAGGGTTTTGATGCTGCAATAGAATCGATGCAATATCGGCAAATCCACAGTAATCCCTTGTGTTCTGCGTAGGTCTTGACAACTGAATCAGTAAGCTGGGAGTAACGCCTTTGACCACCCATCTAGAAATTGCAGGCGAGACATTGGATACCCTTGCTTACGACTTTGGCACAATTTAAACACACTGAGTTTGACATGGCGAAATATCTTAATTCAGGAGAAAATGTTCACACACAACAGTTTGGCCATATTTCCATTCAGCTTCAAAACAATTCAAAGCAAACAATTGGTTTATGCATCCTGCAAGAGTACATATTCGGCTATCACACACACCACCTCGATAATGTACCAAAAAAGCAAATTAATGACAAGGCGATGCTACAAAAAACGGGTGGAGAAGGACAAAAAGCACAATCAATTTAAAAGTCGACTTGGTAAGTCAAGGATGACAGAGTTGGGGTCTCGCAAAAGATGCAAAAGGTAAGGGATGACTGATGTGCGGTAAGCTTGTGTACAAGCATAGCTAGCTTGTACTTCTGCCTAGAAGATGAAGTTGATACGGATTCAGATAAGGCAGTATGTAGGGGATGACTTATATTGGTCAGTACCTTAGTGGCCAGCTTTTGCAGGAAGTGACGTGTGTAGAAATAAGTGTTAGTAAAAGTAGATGTCGGAACACCGCTTCATCGAGCTAAGCGCTTTATTGGTTGGACAATTAACTTCGAATGCTTATCCGAGAGACCGGAGAAGGATCACAAAGGAACGATTAGTTCAATGGGAAGAACACAGGCATTGGTAAAGCGAACTATCAACTCACGAGGAACGCGGGAGGCTCTAAGCCAAGAGGCATAGGATGTCCGCCTTCTGATTTTTCTGAAAGTTTCATTTACTTGAAGCGTCTAAGGTATATCTTAACTCAACGTCACACCCAGATAGTTTACTGATGTGGAAGACTGTAATCCGTCGCCATCGATATGTAACTTGTTGCACAGTGTAAGGAGCTCCTCGTAATTGGATCCTTTGTGTAAGAAAATAAGAATAGTATGGCACTTTGAAGCACTAAGAGACAGATCACGGGATTAGGACAAGCCATTAAGGTTGATCAGAAGCGCTTATACAAGCGGCGCTTTGGTGGTTGATGAACAGGACAATATCGCCCGCATATTTTACTTGAGATGATTCAGTTGGAGCAGGCATAGACTTTACGTAAGTAGAAAAGAGAAAAGGCAACAGAATTTCTCCCTGAAGGACACCTGTGTTGGTGAGTAGTGGGGAGGAACATCTGCCACTGAGTCGGGTGAACTGAGTGCGGTCAGCAAAACAATGCCTCAGTAGATAGAGAGTGGTGGGATGCAATCCTTGTGTAAGTAGATTTTCTAGCAGTAATTTGTGGTTTACACAGCCAAGTGCATTTCTGTAGTCAAGAAAACACAGCGTGTTGCTTTATTTCTATTGCCAAGCGATGACAGTATAGAATGCACGAAGCAGGCCACAGCATCTATGGTAGACCTCAAACTACGATAGTCGAGCTGGAGGGTGTCCTTAGAACGCGTACTGGACGGAATCAGTTCGAGAATGACTTCAAAACAACGGAAGTGCACGAGAAGGGTCGATAACTATTGTATCCTTTTTCGGCACTGGTGTAATGTTGACATTTCTCCAGCAGTCGGCTGTTTCGTGTTGCTGCATATACTTTGTGTATATACTCACAAGAGATGTTGCCAAACAATCGGCACATTCTTTGAATGAGATAGGAGATAGCTTGTCTGGCAAACTAGCTTTATCGGAACGTAGATCTTTCAGTAGATTATTTACAGTTATACTGTCAACTGGAAGCAGTGGTTCAGCAAACCCAAAAACTTGGGCACAGGAAAACTCTGGAGCTGTAGTAGTATTACACTTGCAGAACTCCTGATTCAATTTATCTACGTCTGCATCAAAGAAGGGCGAACGTCGAGTAACTCCACTCTATGTTTTCAGCATAATTTAGAGTTCACGACAACTGCCTTTCCTGAGAACAAAGCGGATATACACTTTGTTAAAACGGTATAACTCCTCCTTGATACGGCCTGAAAAGATCTGAGGTGCCGTCTTTCTCTTTAAACGCTTTCTCCTTAACTAGGCGTAGCCGCTTCAGGTGGAGGAAGAAAACCTGTCAGCACAAACTAAACAGTTTCAGAACAGCAACGGATATCAACACAGAAGTATAAATAGCTTATCAAATTATCACAATACCTGGAAACATCAGGGTCAAAGAACAAACTGAATTTCCTCCATGCGATCATTTCGCGAAGTCTGTCGAGATTATGTGGAGAACACTATTGTTACTTGACCCTCCGATCATTGTAGCGAGGGAGTTGTTGGTGTTTTTCTTGAGATAGATGACAAGTAAATTCTTGACTGTTGTGTGACCAGAATTGACGATTGGAGCCCGAGTACATACGGAGAACCAATTCACAGTATTAACAAACACCAGGTCCAAGGTGGGCAGATGACGATAATTCGCAACCCGAGAGCGGCGAGAAAAATAGTGTCACATCTATTGAAATATCCGCCGGAGGTGCACAGATAATAAGCGATGTGTTGTATGACAGCTGCAGTAAATGCATCACAGATTATAGCAATGTCCACAGCACCTTCCCTTATCAATTACAAAACATTTCACTTGCCTTTCACGTAGGTTCCCCTGATTTCTCTGTGGCCGAAAGGGTTTGTTCAAACGAATTCATAACAAACAGACCATTATAGCAGACAATGCGTAGTAAGCCTAATTTACATGTCCAATATCGTTTCAGTATCTTTACACTTATATGATAATTGAAGTAGGCTTGCTTATTATAGTACAAGGATATTGCACCGTTTAACACTTCATTGACATACCTTTGCTTGGCTATCGGGGCGTTTGATTGCACGACGTCGGAAACTGTTCGTCAAGCAGGAACCCTGCAGTACAAATTTGACACAGCAGCCGAGTATACCTTCTACAAATTGTTGTAATAATTTTTTGAAATACTTCCCTGCAAAAATGTATGTTTTTTCTTCCGAAAAGGAAGGAGCGTAGATTTTTACGCGAACGATTACGTAGATTAACTAAGATGCAACGATGTTAACTTTAATATTTTACTAAAATTTGATGAAGTTTCATTGAAAAATTTTAGTGTTGTACTTCATAACACGATGCAGCTCAAATTCAAATGAACCCGCTCTTATCTAATCAAACGGCCTCTTAGCCGTAATTAAGCGCCTTGGAAATTCCGGGGACTCGTTACCATGGTTACGATAAACGAATCACTACAAGCAGTAAAACTTAGTATTTAGTTATAAACACCAGTAATACCTTTCTTTTATTAATGTAAACTTATTTGTTAGTTGTCATGCCTTGCAACTGCCATCACAATACCCGCCGCTCCATTTACCCTAGCCCGTAAACCAGTTCCTAGTACAAGTTCAACTGCAACATCAAGTGGGACTGGAACGACAGGACGAATCCCGTAAGTGTTCTTTCTTGAGCGGGTCGTCGATCCAGGAGTTGATAGGGGTGCTCCGACTCCTTGATGGGTCTTAAAGGAACCACCCGAAAAAACACCCAGGTCCACCAATTTAACGTCCATGTTCCTTACCTTCGCTGTCCCTGCTATGCCAGTTAAGTGCAGTAAGCAATAGAGGAAGAAAATTCGAAGGTAACAGGGTAAGGGAAATCAGTTAAAAGAAGAGAATAATACCAATGGCGAGGAAAAGTAAAGAAAATAGAATGGAAATATGAAGATAGGAATTAGTCAGGAAAAAGGAAAGGTTTCGTATTGCCACCCAAGAGCGCCTAGTTGTCGCTCAACCCCTTACCCGTAGCTTCCTGGACAACATTTTCTGAAAGCAGGTTCCAGCGCTCGATGACTCGACGTGATAACTGTGTCTCTGCTCTAACTCGATCGGACGGCGGTTTGTCCAGCTTCATGCAATGCCCGCGGAGACCAGATAATCTAGCAGGACTAAATAGGCAGGACAACTCAGGTCCAACCTTCCCAGGCAAAATACGCTACGTTAGGATTTGGTCTCCTCTAATCCTTCTATAGTGCATTGACTGCATCCCCAAACTAAGTATGCGTTCGGTGTACGTTTGTCCACGTTACCCCTTATCTAGCCTATTACCGACACGCAACACCCTTTCTAGTGCCATTTTGTCCCGAACATGGTACGGTGGACAGGCCTGGACGCAATATTCTTGGTGTGGTCTCACAAACGCTGAGAAGAGCTTCACAAACACATCAGCGGTTAGGGTCCCGAAAGATCGACGGACAAGACACAACATCCAGAACCCTTTACTAGCCGCTTTCTTCCATTTATCTCCAGAGTGTAGTGTGGAACAGCGGACGACACTTAGGTCAACCTGATGAGCCACTTGAGGAGGTTCACTCCTGTCGAGCAAATAACTTGTGGAGGAAGCAAACGCCCTGATACGCAGCACTGAACACTGCCCGGTTTATGGGCAGCAACCACAAGACCGACCATTCCCAGAGTCAATCTAGAGCCCGTGGAAGAGCCACAGGACCTCCAGGATATGAACGGTATTCCAGAGCTTTAGGTAATCAGCAAATAAGAGCGATGGTACCTCAAGCTCTCTGGGCAAGTTATTCACGTAGACTGAGAACTACATCGGTTCAATGGCAGAGCATAGCGGGACGCCGCTAAGTATAACTTGTCGAAACAAAAAAATGCCTCCTACACGAATACATTATTCCCGTCCATGCAGAAAAATTGACGCCCACTGGAGAGCGGGACTAGATATCCCATACGACTTGAACTTCGGTGAGAGTCGCTAATGGGAGCCAGCGTTAAAAGCCATGGCGAAGTCAATAACCACCACATCCACCACATGTTCACTGCCTACGGCTTCAGCCCAACTCTCACGAGCTACCAACAAGTTCGTCTGACACAAAAATCTTTTGCGCAAAAATAGTTGCTTGACGCTAAGCAAGTTAAATATATTTACAAGGTTCTCCACTATATCTCGTACTATATTTTCAAGGAACTAGACGACCACGCTAATCAAGCTGACAGGCCTGTAATTAGCCAGTAGGTCTTTGTCACCACACGTAAAAGGCGGGCAAACAATAGCCTCCTTCCATTCAGTAAGCAAGACCCAGCTGTTGAGTGACTTCTGAAACACACAAGTTAGAGGTCTACTGAGTTCCACTGCCAATTCATGCAACAATTTCGAATGAACAGAATCTGGCCCGGAAGCCTTATTTGGGTTTACCACTCTTAGCAACCGGAGAATATGCGACTCAATTATAGGACTTTCATCCAGACAACCGTCCTCAGAGACTCTTGAAGCTAACTCTTCGCATGGCGTATTTGTTTCGCGGACAAAACTCTTGAGTACTGCTCACCAAGCACGCGTGCCTTGTCATAGTCGCTATCGGCATGGGTCCCATCTCCTCGAGGCAATGGTGGTATGGGCGAGTTTGCACTACAGCGTCGTTTAACGTATGCGAAGAATTTCTTGAGATTTTTCGAGGCAGTATCAACTAAGCCGTTTTCATACTGAAGGAGCGCCAACCTAAGAATTAGCTTACACTCATTTCGAACCAAATGATACTTGTCAAATGTGGTGTTCGACGGAGCTGTTCGGTACGCTCGCCAGCATCTAGGCCGCTTCTTTAGCAGGCCATTCCCAACGGAATCTATCCACGGAGGCTGCGCTTTCGATTCTCTTCTTTGTACCAGTGGGATGTGAGGTGCAGAAATGTCGACGGGGTGAGCGTTAAGTTTTTCCCAGGCTCTGTGAACAGTATCGGCCTCAGATATCACACAAGGCGAGGACCTAGCTTTGTCCCGCATCGCTTGGTACTCCGCGGCCCAAATGTTCGGATACCAACTGGTGGTAGCTTGACAAATCCAGATAAGGATGCTCTGGTAAGGCAAGGAAACGTGGTCGCTAGCGCCAAGAGGCGAGGCATAATTAATGTCATTTACAAAAATCAAGTGACTTAGAAAAAGCAAGTGCTAAAAGGGACGGCTGATGATTTCTCATGTGCCTAGTAATGAGGTCCACGAACTGGTGTAGTGGTATCTGCAGCGTCAAGTCCAGCAGTTCTGTACCGAACGATCCCAGAGTCGAACTGCAAGATAGAGCAACCCAACGAACCTCTGTGAGTTTGCAATCGCCCAGCACCAGACGCTTGTGCGCAGGGTGAGTGCGTATAAACTCAGTGGTTCCATTGGAGGTGCTTATAGGGCTGGGATACGCTAACACGACCGCCAGCTGAACCGAGGAAGCGCAAAGCAAGACTGCGATAGCCACAGTAGGTTGGTCGGGAGACTGAAAAACGCTGGTCCTCCATACGTCGATGTGATAACTCGCATAAAGAGCTACACCACCCCTTGACGGACAATGGAGCTTTCAGTGCGGTACAGTGCGTAGCCAGGTATATATACTTCCTCATTTTGCAAACCTGTGCTTTTGTGAAACGATGAACATACCGTGCCAAAAGAAGACATTGTATGCCCGGAAATAATGACACTGGTACAAATTTCTAACCGAACAAAGATAAACGATTAACGGACCAGACACAACTGCTGATAATTCACAAGTAAATTTTGATTTTTCGTAATTCGATAGAGGTGTACAGAATCATTTCTACTTGCTCTTAAATACCGTCTCAGTCTCAGTCTCATCTGTGGTTTCCTCAGAGAGCCACGTTTCAGTGAAAGCAAGTACATCTGGACTACGTTTGTCTACGAGCAGACCCACCTCGCACATCTTTTTCCTCAGGCTACTCACGTTACCAAGTACTACTTGGAGGGCTTCGGCATGACCAGCTCTGTGTCGTGCGTAAGTAGAATAGGTGCTGGCAGGGGAAAAGGACCGCCGGCTGATCACCCGAAAACCCACCAATCGGAGAACTTGCTCGCTAGCTGCACCTCGAGCTTTTAGGTCTCTGATGGCTTCCTTTAACTTTAATCTGTCCGCTAACAGAAGGTCTGGTTGCACACTAACTTTGGCACCCTTAAGCTTGAAGGCAAACCTCAGCAAGGCTCTGCGCTCTTCTGAGGTGTAGAGGACTACCCTAAGCAGATGAGGTCGAGGCTTTTGTTGACCAACCGGAACGTTCCCCAATCTGATGAGCTTCCTGACAGTAACTACTGACAGTAGCTACTGGAGTTCGTTCAAGTTCAAGTTCAGTTGGGACCAGAACGATAGAATATTACCGTGAATGTCTATTCTTTTGTGTATCAATGAATTGGGCATTGGTAGATCTGCTTGTGGTGTAAGGAAGCTCAAAACAAGGACCGCACCATGCCTGTCCAACCAATTGCTGCCTACGTTTCCAGCCAAATGGTCTCTGATGGGCCAGACTACATGAAGTAACAAGAGTGCAGGGTAAACTAAGAAAACACTAGGAGGAATCTTAGCTATACGCTAATAATACCAAGGAGTGAGAAGAAAGCTGAAAAAGTAACAGGAAGTTGAACCTATAAGTCGGTTATGAGAGGGGAAACGTATGGTATTGCCGTCAATGAACAATGAACAATGAATTTATACGGGTTAAGAAGCGTTGCTTTACAAGTCACGTTGGATGGTTGCAGGAGATATCAACATAACAATAACGAGGATAAGGATAGTAAAATAGTTAATACTTTAAATATGAAATAAGGACTTATCGTTTGCTTCGCTGAAGGCCTGCAATCCTCTTAGATTCACAGCATCCACAGTTAACAACAAATAATTCCATGGTAAACTCCAGTTGTAGGATGGAGACGTAGCGTTAAGTAACAAAGTGTAAGTGGATGTGTGCATCGTCCAACCGTCTTTTAATTACTGTTAGTGTCGGTGCAGAAACGACAGATTCTGGGAGAGCATTCCACGGGTGACAGACACGAATGGAAAAGAAAGTTCTGCGGCACTCCAGACGACGGTATTTTTCTGCGAGTTTTAATGAGTGGCCCCCCAGGTTTGTATTGCTGCTGAGTTGCAGTAAAGGGCGGCACACATGATGTGGGTCTCGTAGAATCAAGTATGCCATAAGCAGGTCGCCTCGTAGTCTGCGATAGCTTCCACCGAACAATCCCAATCGTCGCAGCCTCTCCTGGTAGGAAAGATTGCGCATTCCAAGTACGTACTTAGATGCCCGATGTTGTGGTTGCTTCAGTGCATTAAGGTCGTGTTTCAGCCATGGATGCCAGGCTTGAAT